CCACCCCCACCCCGGGGCTCCCAACCACTGTCTTCACCTCATGAGCTAGGATGCCTGCCATATTAGATGGAGAGGAGGCAGTCTCTAAGTGGCTGGACTTTGGGGAGGTCTCAGCTCAAGAAGCTCTGAAGTTAATTCACCCCACAGAGAACATCACCTTCCATCCAGTCTCTTCCGTGGTGAACAACTCCCGAAACAACACTCCTGAGTGTCTGCTTCCTGTCGACTCGCTGATCAAAAAGGTAGGGACCTATGACTACGATAGTCCTTTCTGAGCTTTCTGTCTTCTGTCAGTGTGACCTGTTAATTTTATGCCATAACCTTTCACAATCAGAGATTGAATACAAGCCACCCCAAATTCACCTTCCTCGTGCACGGCAAGGTGGACCTGAGCAGTGAAAGCTGGCTGTGACCCGGGGGTCCTCAGGAGACCTGTTGCAAAATGTAAATGCCAGCCTCTGTCTAGACCTACTGCTTCAGTATTCAGGGCTGGGCTTGGGCTTCTGTATCTTTAAGAAGCTGCCGTGGTGGGTCTGATAATAACCCAAGTTTGAGGATCCCTAATCTAGAGGGTGACCGTGAGAAGGACAAAGGAGCCCTTGACCACAGCTGTATCTCTCGCCAGCCAGATGTGTGATTTTTGCCTGTCTGTCCTCCCCGCTGCAAGGTGGAGGGGTTCCAATGGTCCTTCTCCTTCCGGGGGACCTGAGGACATCCCTGCCGTGAACTTTACCTCCTTAGAATTGGCAGGGATCCAGGTGATGTACTTTGAAGGGAAGGTGAACAGGCGAGAGGCCTCAGTGAGAAGTAAGTTCCAGAGCAGAAGCTGGCCCCTGCTGATACCCGGGGTGAAGGTTTAGGAGCAGCAACTGTTTGTAGGTGGCATAGAGGGACCTGAAGTAAGACATGGCTCTGAGTGTTCCAAAGCAGGCATCTTAGGCTGCCTGAGAAGTGTGAAGGACAGTGATGGCTAGAACAGCTGCCCCCTTCCCCACTCTTCTAAGTTTATTAAGTTTTCATACTCACTGTCAGTGTCATCTTTTTTCTCTCAGTTCTGTCAAACTCCTGCACCCCCGACACTTTTTTCATTACCCGTCTCTAAAAGTGTCATTGTATATGTATTCCTTTTGCACTAGACACGGCCCCATTTCTGCCATGGTCTTTCCTCCAGAAGAATTCAAAAAAAAAAAAAAATTCACATTCTGGAGAGGTGGCATCGTGCGGGCTCAGAAGCTTCAGTCCGGGCTTGGTGAAGGTGTAGCGGGAGCGGGGCTGGCGGGGGGCTGTGCGGAGGGCGCTGCCGCGGGAGAGAGCTGCGCTCCGGCCACGGCTGACTCCCGCCCTGCGGCTCCCTCCCCACGCCACACTGCCTGGTGCTGCTGAAGCGCACCCTTGCCCTGACGCTGCTTCTTGGTCTGCCCGTGTTTGCAGTGCCCAGCAGCTCTCTCCTCTGGCTGGCCCCACACACCTCTGGGCAGCCTCCCCGGAGAGCTGCTCCCTCCTCGCAGCCCTTGGAACACACTCTCCCCCTCTCGGCCCACTCCTGATTAGGGGCCCCGTCTGGCCCTTGGTGACAGTTTCCAAGCCTAGGTCAGTACCTAATGCCTCTTCCCCTCTCTCTTCCCTTGGAGTTGGCCTCTTTCCACAAGCTGGAGCTGGTGGTTTGAGCTTTTCCTTCTTTCTCCTAGGAGCTCAAGGCAGGTGGCAGCAGCCAGAAGATGTTGCAATGGCTGGCCACAAAGTCACCCAAACAGGAAGACACCAAAACACCCCAAAAGGCAGAGTCAGATGTGCCCCAGTGGTCCAGCCAGTTCTTGAAGAAGAGCCCGTTCCCCCCCAGGAGAGGCGGTGCTGACCTCCTGGAGCGATGGCTGAAGCGGGGGGAGGGGGAGGGGGAGGGGGAGGAGCCTGTGGCCAAGCGGCCTCACACCCAGTAGCGCAGGACTTACAGAGGCCAAGGCCAAGGCCTGCTGCACTGAATACCATGGTGATGACAGGTTAGGGGGGTGGTGTTGCTTGGAGGAGGTAGCTCGGTGTTAACAGTTGTGGCTTCTTGGGGGAGTGGCTGTCCTGACTGTGACCGGGGAACCCTCAGTGGCGGGGGTGGGCAGCCTGGGAAAAGGGAGAGGTACCACCATCAACTCATGATGGGGGGGCCGGGGGGCCTTGTGCCCACAGCTCTCTCCTGGTAGCCCGGGGACCTTCCCTCAGAGTCTGACCCTGCTGGCAGTTCTCAGCATGACCTGGTACTGCTTAGCAGAGGCTGTTTTCTGTTTAGCTTTCGGGCTCTTTCAGTGCTTTGGAATTAAGTTCTTAAAACATTGTATTTTTTCCTGAATAAAGTGTTTGATAAACTGTTTACATTTCAGAAAATGCTGCTGGTGGGAGGAACTCGGGATCTCACTGTTTTCTCCTGGCATGGTCCTAGGGAATGGTTTTGTCACATTGTGGGGCACTGGGGTTTTTGTGGACAAAACTGCCTTTCTGGAAACAAAAAGACTTGGTGGGGCGCTCTTTATTGAGTCGCTGTTCACTCTTAATACTTGGAAGTTGCCTGAATCTTTTAGCTTAAAGCCAGCCAGAGTGCCTGCCAAACACGAGGGGTTGCAGAGGCCAAGACCCCTGCATGGGGAGCGCAGGATCTGGGTGCAAGCCCTGCCCAGATTCGCGGCCCCTGGGTGGAGCAGGGCACGGAGGGTGACACGGGTTTGGGGGCCATCCGCCCCAGCCTGGTCAGCGCCCCCGCGGTTTGTTCTGCAGGCTCGTCCCAGGCACACCAGTCACTCTGTAACTAGATGTTTGGGTGGTTGTGACTGTACGCCTCCCCACCCAGATGACTGGGTCAGTGAAGGCACGGACCGCTTTAAGACTCCTATAATGTAGCTGCGCACTAACTGCGCGCGCAGCCCTCCAGGCTTAACCGGATGCCACGCCTCGGGGGGCGAGGAGCGGGCCGCCCACAGTGGGGGCGCCGAGGCCAAGGGGCCTTCCCAGGGGTCGGGGGACAGCTTCCAGGAGGACCGCGCCGGGCACGCCCC